GTGCTAATGACAGCTATATTGTGCTTCCATTCTTATTCACACACTTTGATTGTAACTTCGCGCGAATTCGGTTACGTTCTGTAACCAAGCTTGTATCCTGGCACGATCTCGGTATCCTTTCGATGCCACGAGATCGCCAGCTAATAAACCTCGACTTGGTCCATTAACTGTCTTCTGATATTTGGCTTCTCGGGGATTTTATGGAGTCATTTGGAACGAGCTTCTTAGTAGCGGTGTTCATAGTCAATCTCGACTCGACGCCACGCTACATACTAAACGGAGGTCTTCTGAAAGGTCATTATCGAAAAACAAAAATAATGGGGAGCACACGATAGTTAATGTGATGCCTCAGACGTATTTCTCATCGGTTTGAGCAATTTTGCGATGGGTCTTTGAAACAGTAAACTGTTCACTAACGAAAATGTCTAGCATGTTGATGTCCATTTTTTATAATTTATGCATCAACTATTGTTCTGAAAGTTTGATCGCATCCAGTTTTCTAGGTACCATTCGTCTTTGCATATCTGAGTAAACCTATTCCTGTGAAGCGTATAGTGGTATATTTATACATAGATTCGCCCAAATAAATAGTTGTCGAATTTCCGAGATTTTGGTTATTTAGCTTGGTAGTTGTGCAACGATTAAATTCACCGCTTCACGGAAGATCGTTCAACAAGTTCGGGATTTCAGAAAAATGCACCGAAACATCACCTCACATGCAAAGTGATGGCTTCTCTCACCATCAAAAAAAGGTTTGTATGATCGGTAATATATGGTAAGTAATTAACGCAAGTCCCTTTCATCTTCTATATTGTCGAATTAACGGAAATATAGATATATTAATCGAGGTGGAACAGATCAAGAAATAAAAAAAGAACTGAATAAAACACGAGCGGCTGCAAATTATGTTGTACGCTGATTATGTACGAACTAGGTATTTCCTTCAAGCCTTTACTTGACACTAAAAGGGATTCCAAAAATCATTGCCCAAATGGACACTGCGTGGTATCATTTTTTCATCCCTTTAACAGAAACTATAAACTACATCTAAAGCTTAGAATCAAAAATAGTTACATATTGGTGCCCTTCATCATTCGGGCTCGATAAAAGCCATCAAATCCAAATCCCTCAGAAACAAAGAATGACACTCGTGATATACACGAGTATAAGGCCAAAGTTCGATAGAACTTACATATCTATGTTTTTACCTCTAATTTTAGTTAAACTCTCAATTATGCAAGGGAAACAAATAAACCGCCTTCTGATGGTTAGTATTAAAATTCATGGATGAAGCTGTGGTTTGGAAACTTAAAATCACTATTCTATCGAAAATTGAGAAGGTATTTGATAAACCACACCATAGGAACAGAATACTCATTAACATCTAAACGGCTTGGAGATATCTGGTCTATTGTACAAGTTGATTAAAATTAATGGAATTCCACTTTTTACACGTTTCCCGTAATAATGAATACTATTTCATTGGAAGACGTCAAGAAAATCGATCATCACAAATTCGCGAAACAAAATTAGAGATAAGAGCGTCTCAACATATGTAAAATCATTCGTCAACTAAACAAAAGCATTTTCAGGTCAATCGGATCCATCGTTTATCATGAGCCAACACAGCTATCTCATTTGGGTCTCCGTAAACAGCCAGACAATGAAGAGTAAAAATAGGTAAAAAGTCGAATAAAAAAATATCTCATTACCTGTCGTGCAATCCAGAAGCAAAAGAATTCTCCTACATTTTGAGTTAAAATGTATCACAAGGATGATAACGGTCAATAGTGTCCTAGTGGCAAAGTTTAAACGTACATGCAAATATCGAACAGGGACGTTTGGATAGATATATTCACAAAACGAATCTTAAAATATCCGAACAATGTGTTTTCAAACGCGTACAGACACTTGGTTAAGCTCAATTATCACAATTAAAAAAATGTTACCAATGTACAAGGAACAATATTCTAGTTTATTTAGTTGACTCTAAGAGAAAGTTACCGACAACAAAATATGAAAGAAAATTATAATACATATATTTGTGACGTAGCGGATACACACCATTTTTACAAGCACGTTCAATAATTTATAAAAAATGGGTTTACAGATAAGACAGTACTCCAGTCAGGTTAGCTAGTAGTTGAAATCAGTGAAAATATATAACAAAACATCTGCACAGATATGCCATCAAGTTAAAAGTAGGTTATATGTTAGCATTGTGCTATTTGTTTACAGTCGTTATAATTTAACGAAAAATGGAACCTTGTAAAAATGACATAGAAATTATATTATTAGTTACGAGTTATCATTATGGAATGCAATTTTATTTCAAATATGCATAACAGAAGAATTTAATTTACACAACCACAAAAAACAGTAAAGTACTGTGATATGCCAACCATCAAAATTAAGTTTTGAGAGGAATAAACAGTGAAATCAAACGGTAGGTCCAGTAAATCTGGGCAGAGAAATTTGACAAAGAAGAACAATAGTATAATCGCAGCATAAAATTTCTAGGAGATTGTCTACCAGATTTCATGATTGAATTCAAATGCCTTTCATACAAATCAGTACTTGATAGGAAGCCGATTGGTTCCTTATTGAGTCTTACAATGCTTTGACTTTAAACCAGAGAATATACGAAAAGTGTCAGGTCTTCGATGTTGCTCGGTGTTGATGACCTCGTAAAAATTAACAAAGTGAAGCAGTTAATAAATCCCCAAAATGAATAGCTCTGTAAGTTTTCGACATTAGATGCTGACTACATTAGTTTCAATAGACTCACCTACCTGAAGGCACTCGGTCATGCATCCGCACCAGATCACGAATGCAAACGCAGTGCTCAATATCTACTGCAATCGTTAGCCAGATACGATCAGACTATTCTCGGTATATTGATAGCCCATCAAACATATTTTCGAACCTCCTCGCCTCTATCTTTTGATTTCGCTTGGTAGTTACGCTTCATGTTAGGTGTTTCTGGTTAAAGCGTTATCATATCCGATTACCTGTGACATCTTCAAAAGGATGCATGCGCAGTGTTATCGCAAACAGACCTCGCCATTCTAGTAGGCTTGTCCATTTTACAGCTAGTGCCAAGTAATGCGACCGAATGTTTCGAAATGAATACTAAACATTCCAATGGCAGTAATTTTGACAGTGCAGGTATGAAAATGCCTCTGACACCGACTCACAACTATAATAGGATCCTTTAGTTTAACTATTTCTCAATGCCATCTAATTCTAGACAAATGTTAAGGAAATTTTTTGAGCACTAATCTTAGGAAGCGCAAAAGTGACTGCCGCTTTGGCATCTTTTGAGACCAAAGGTTTACCATTCACATTGCGGCTTGAAAAATCAGATTTACTTTAGCCATTCCGATGCGGATCTAGATATGATTCAATAGTTATATACCAGATATCATGAGACAGATTTGGGTTCCATTGATTCTCACAATTTTTAACCGTGTTAAGTCAGCTTTCTAAAAGAGACAGACAAGTAGGAAGCCAAAAATGAACCGATTTCTCCTAACTAACAAGGATCTCACCGAGTGGTTAACATTTTAATCCCTTTGTGAATGGTTGTACTTAAGTCTTTCATATTAATTGACGTAGTTACTCATTGATAAATTTCAGTTGGAGGTCATTAAAGCAGATGATCTGAGTCATAGGGTTGTGGGCTCACTGAAGTTGGAATGTAATGGTATGAAGAACTATATAACGTCGAATTTACACCCCATTGTAAGTACCCAAAGTAGACTAGACTTTCGTGTTATCCAGGTACTATAGCTACTCTCATGACTGTACAATGTATTAGCATGAGCAGGCTCAAGAAAAAGAGTGCTCTAAAATCAAATGGGCCAGTCCACAGCGTGCAATCAACAGATGAGCTTTGATTGTCCTTGACTTTGACGAAGATCTGTGAACCGTTTGATGCTAAGTGACCCGACTGCCGATTCATTTTACGTAGGCCCTATGACATTTAAGTGGCCTCACGAACTAAAAAATAGTCTCATTAAAAAGTCGAAATGAAAAAGGTAATAGAAAATTCGTGTAATTCATGAATTAAATAATAAGAAGGGCTAAAAGATCAACCATATGATCGACTTATCAGCTATCTCATTATGGCTAAAATTATACTGTACAAAATACAGTGAGTGAATAGACAAGCAGTTAACTCGAAGATAGAAACAGACATCTATACACACACGCATAAAGAAAAATTTTAAGGGTCAACAAGTGAATATATATTCACTGTCAAACATTTGGCTGTAGCAAATCAGAATGCATGGATCGATTGAAGAAATCAGGACAGTGTGTCTGCTTACTAGATATAATAAATAGTGTGGCTTTCTATAATGAAGAAATTGCTATCGATGTTCAAACGGAAGTAGTGATGACTGCATTTTCAACTGACTATTAGGAACGACTGGATTTCTAGAAGAATCATCAATATGACATATGAGTAATCAGTAAAATTTGAAATGTGAGCAGCTATGATGACATAAGAAGAGTTTTTTGGGTTGCTATCGCTTCACTTAATTTTATTGTATATTGGACTAATGATAAAGTCTGAATTTGAGGAGATTTCACTATGTACGTTACATTTCAAAGTCGATCCTTATTTCGTTATAATTTATGTTGACAGTTAACCGAATATCTGTCTTGTATAATTCATTCCTTCAAATATCAACTGGTGTTTCAGCATGTAGGGGTAGCATTTATTTCTCGAGGCACACAAAGCGGTCTCAAAAAGCAAGCGAGTTCAACGTTTATCGTGATGCTGCTGAAATTGTAGAAACCTCATTTGCTGGGGAGAATTTTGAGGAGTCAGTGAGTGCACTAAGACACGCAAAGTTAATCGAAAGTCGGAAGCACAAGTTTGCAGTGCTTCAAAAGAAGTATTCTAAGTATGTTTGGTTTAATACCAGGTGTTTGACTGAACCAGTAATCCCGTAGAGTTGTCTGTGCTTACATGGAGAGCAAAGGAGCAAGTCATGTTCTTGCTGAGTGGTGACGAAGGTATGGACTTTGATCAAATATCCAAGTCATTTCCAATAACCTCCCAAGGTGCTGAAAAGCTTTTTGGGAATAAATCGTCACCTATTTTACAAAAGTCGGGGGACATCAGTTGGCTTTTAAAGCACGATTCTCGCGTTATTGAACGCTGGAATCATTTGCTTTTGTTCCTGAACCGGATTTATCGTGGAGCTGATGATGTTTCGGAATCTTCTGTTTTTGACATGATACCTAGTGGTCTAGCATGGTTATGTACAAACGCAAAAATGAATCTTCTAATGTACGCAGACGGAAATCCTGAACTTCCTTTCCCGAAAAGACATGAAATCGTGAAAAAGGATCATTCATATGGTCATTTTGAGATGTATGCTGCAATGTTTAGCAGTATGCCTAAAGATGAACTTTGTGATCAGTATACGCAACATGTTCTCAATCTTCGTAAATTTGTCGAAACTTTTCAGAAACTTAAAAATTCTCCACCCCAAAATGTCCCATTTTCAGGTGACTATCACTCTCCACGGCTTTACAAATATTTGTTACGTTGTGCAACTGCTGTTAACTCAAAATGTAATAATCAAAGATCAATTTCTCTTCCAAATAATGTAAAGCTCCGTGACTATTACACTAGTCAAAAAATAAAATAATTTTTCTCGGGACGGTGTTTGTTAATGTCTTTCTGTCTACCAAATAATGTTTACATGAGTAAGTTCTGGGATAGCTGACTTGCATCCTGTTATAGCAATCTGATGTATTTGGTGAACACCATCTACAAGACTTTGCAAAAGCGTGTGTGATGTTCATTTTTATAACTGATACATCATACTTTCTGGTGCATTAGGTAAACGCGTGTACATAAAAATATGAGTTCTTTGACTCTCCTCATTGTCCACGATTAAGTGATTGCTGCAAGCGACATCCTTACCAGTCTGTTGTGCTGTATTTAATATTTATTTAATGTATACAGATGGTTCACTAGTTTTTAGTTACTCATGAAAAAGCCAGTACTGAACTTCAGAACTTGCTTGTCGCTTTCATGATATTATTATTATTTAAACATAGACATTTGTACAATGGGGCACCAAATAGATATACGCCATGTAAGTTCTGTTTGTGTGAGGGCTAAGATATTGCCCAGGTACCCAAATCGAAGCAGTTGATTTTCTTAGGGGCTACCCTGAGCCTTTGACTCAAGGGCCTGGCCCACAAGGCAGTGGAGCGACACAAGGAGATGCAGTCCCATGGTAGACGGTTCATACGCCATTACTTTCCTTAGGATCCTGGAGCCCATCTACACCATCTGTTTGGAATCGTGGTTTTTCAACTCCACTAAGTAGATCCTACGCATTCACCAACCGGTTAAAGCGCCGGACATTCGATTTTTGTCCTCTCAATTTTTTAAACACCGCCGCGAGAAGGCACTGAGTAGGACTTCCCTGGCAGTGGCTATATGCACGTGGCCATGTGAGAGCATTTCGAGGGAGATAGCTAACTCCCCACTCTCGGCCGTACCAGGGCATTTGGCGGCAAGCTTTGATATAAAATCTCGCTGATGGTTTAGTTCAATGGCGCCCGCGGAATATGTCATAACTAATTAAAAACCTTAATTCGGTGTTCTGACTTACTGGTTTTCTCTGGTTGTTTTTTACCATCTCCACTATCTTAAGAACCAAGCTTAGCTAGTTGATTTTCAGTTACTACTATTTCCGTCATTTCTCAAACAGTAGAATGATCATAAGTGATATTCATGTTGTCTCTAATTTCCACACGTAGGTAGGTATTAGGTAGATTTTCTAAAAATGTGTGGCATTTTTCGTTTGATGAAAGTATAGTAGATTGAGTGAGTTTCCAACCTACAACACATATGTTAAAAATGGGATGCCTAAGACCCACTCTACTCATTGGATCCTTACATAGGCTCGTACACATCGATCAAGTTACCGACTGATTTATATTTTAACTTAATAGCTATCGTTAAAAGCATCTAAAGACAAAACTTCGGAACATTTGCCTTGTTTCAGTTTAATTCCTTCACAGCTTTTATGATAGTAATAGTGTTGGTTCAGCGCTCTAATGAGTCCTTTAAAAATTAAAATTTTCTGTTTTAATATTTCAGGCTACTCTCCTCAAGAGTAACGTACTTTTTCAGCGACAATTCAGCTAAACGTTGCTGTTTAGATACATACATGAGCAGTCTGAAAAGTCCTGATATATCCAAATAATCAGTTGTATCAATTAAATAAGATTGAGTAATTAGGATCATTGGTTGTATGTTTGTTTCTAGGATAACTTAATAGAGTTCAGTGCAACTGACAGAATTTTAGTATTTCATTCTTTTTGGCGTTCTCTGTAATTCCACCTTGCATCGTTTTAGAAGACTATATGTGAAGATAAATTTTAGTAAACTAATGGCGTCAATTTTCGTAATAATCATAGATAATAAAGATAGAAAAGAGGAAAAAATAATAGCGAACATGGATTTATAAAACCAGATAAGTACATATCTACTCAAAGAATTGTTTTCAATCCCTAGACAACCTTACTGTTAGTGGAAAACCTGAAAGTGTAGTTCTTAGAGTCTGATTATGCACATCACCAGAGAAGCTAGCTATGGTACAAGTTCTTTTCAAACCATCTTCAGGTATTAAGACTTCTATAAATGGCCATCTATATCAATATAACGCAATTAATTCCTGGTGACAGATAACCTCGGCGTCGGTGTATACACTCTCTGTCTTCCCTTAAACTAAGACATTAAGATCGCTTTCTACGAACTAATTCTTCCTGTACTATATCCTTATATGCAATCTTTCTTTTATATATTACAACCTCTGAATTAACTGCTTTTATGAATCCGGTGTTTATCTTATGTTAATGAGGTGTGGCAACTTGGACCGATGCATATATGTGCCTGGTCTTACGTTGTAGCTGACCGACTGACCTCGGCCACCACATTAAGGCAGCGGTTATTTGTCTAGAGTATTAATCCGAACATACTATTTCTAAATACGGGTTAATGAACTGCAAAGTGTTCCAAGTACTTTGTTCTAAAAAGTTCCACTGTTCTAGTTTTTTCGGTGCTGGCAGTGACAGTATAAAAACCCACTCGTTGCTGAAATTCGTTTTCTTGCATCTACCAACCATGAAACCGTATTCATCACAGAATTTCACTGGTCCCTAAACATCTTCAGACTTCATATGTTTGTCTACATATTTCTTCACCTCAGCTGGTGCAAATAAAAAATGCAGTTTCCCAGTGTTTCAATTTTAGGCAAGATAGCAGATAGTTATTAGTAGAAGCCTGTTCCGCATTTTATATAGCTTTGACAGTACTTTTTCAAACTCAGCTCACCACTTCGTCGTTCGCTAAGACATACTAAGGTACGTTATAGAGAACTGATGTATGTCGAAAATCTTCATTGAATATTCTGCCTAACTTTAGTAGCTGAGATAGTTTGAAATTACGTTTAAGGATCGGTTTTAAATGCTATCGTCGTTAGAGGTCATTAAGAATGGTACAGCATTTGTGTTTGGGAATGATGGCCAGATTTTTTATTCATTGGGTAAGTTTAGCCATATAAATGATACTGACTGGTGGGACTGTTGGTTAAGCGCAGTTAAGGATTAGGGATTACATAAATATATGGAATGGACTGTTTCCACCATTATATATTCTTTCATCACTTATCTTAGTTGAAAGTAAAAGATGTGATTAATTTTTGTGGTAATTTCGCAACCATTCTGACTAATATAGTCATCAAAATATATTCAGTGGTTTTTCTGTTCTTGATTTCTCAAGAATTGCGATCCCGAAAAAGCTGGTCGAGTTTCGTTTTATCGCGAAGAAAGTGTCACTTTACTATAAGAAGGTCACTAGCATACAATTTATAGCACCTATTGCGTGTATCTGAAAAATCAATGTTGAAGTCATAATGGGACCTCGCCTAAAGACGGCAAATCAGTAGATGAAGCCAGATGTGAGTTTATTACTTCACAATCGAGTTCTAAGTACTTCAAGCTTTTATACTCAGTCATTAAGTGAAAACGAAGTCCGTTTAATGTCTAAAATACAAAGTACATATCTTCTCGCATATATTATGTGTCTAGATTCTTTTACGGTCAGTGAGGTCTTTTTAGTTTCCTTATAAATTTTATTATAACTATTTAGCAATAAAGATAGGTTGTAAATCAAATATTTCAGGAGAAATACATAATCTAATCTCTAGATGAATTCTATTCTCACACTCTTAATTTCGTCTTATTTTATTGCGCTTTCAAACAATAGAGAGGGAATTTAGTTATAATGTGAATTATTTAAACCAAATTATCATACTGACGTAAACGATCTGGATCTTCAATCTCCAGGATCTGCTTAATCTTGAACATGAGGTAATTTCAATTTCAATGAACAATATATGCATTTGATCAGTTGTACCTTTTTTTCTGCATATATATAATTCCATGCAATATTGTAAGGGTGTTAATAATAGATTTTATACGTGTTACTGTCCGTAATTTGATTACTCTAACTCTATATTTAACTTTGATTAATCTACTTAAATAAACATCGAAAATCCCCTAGGTTTCGAGGACATATTTTCCATCAAGCGAATAACTGAATTTCCGTCGTTAGCTACATAACTTCACATTAATTTACAATACTTGCGAATCCTTCACTACTCAATATCGTTCAATGATTTGTTGTGGGATATCAGTTTTAAATGTTAAATAAAGACCAACTTTTCTATTTCACTTGTAGTAACCTTTGGCCAATCTTTTGTAAGGACAGGAACTGAAGTTTTAAAGTGGTGTCTATGCTTAGGAATCGCACAATATACAAGATATCATAAGTATCACTACAGAGTTTTGATGTGGTACTTTAAAGTAATTTGATCATTGGGTAGATTGTTAGTAATAAAAATAGTGATATGCTCTTAATGTCCAAATAAATAAAAAATTAAGTTCCTGAAGTTTTACGACTTATTTTAAGTAAGATTTTTGGGGCGAATGAATAACTAAATGTATTAAATTAACGCAAGTTTAAATATCTCAGGGGAACAAAGAGAAAATATTTAGTGTAACCAAACCACATCTCACGCTATCAACTTACATTGAAATCCAATTCTACTCTTTCACACCATAAATATTACATTTTTACACCCTCATTAACGTACAAATTAATTTTTAGTCGTAACATCCGCATTATTTTTATTTAAGCAATTTTATTTACATTTGAAATATTCCATTAAGAAATTCTTTCTATATAATCATGTAATCTCTTATCTGATCAATAGCTTTCTTGGAATGTGTGATATCGGATATACACTCAATTGAATTTCTTTTCAAATAAGGCTGACATCATTCACTAAAAATTATACTAACGTAATTCTATCTTTTATCTTTCTCTATGAAGGGATATTTACGCAGTTTCACCTGGGCTTCCTCAAGACTTATCATGTCGTAAACAATTTGTATTAAAAAATGAGTCCCAAAAATTACCGGCTATTCAGGAAGATTCAGAAGCGTGCTTACCTCCAATTGCTACATTTAGCCATCATGTACGATTTTTTTCTTCGTTTAAAATGATATAACTGTTAATCAAGTTTATATAAATATGGTTTTTATTTATTACTAGTTTTAGATATGA